CGAGATGAAATATTTCAACAAAAACGAGCTAGTGCAAATGAGAGACGACAGGAAATAATGATGAGAAATCGACCATCCACAATAGACATTGCAAACCGATTGAAAAAAGTAAAACTTGTTGTATTGAAGTTTCTACTATGACATTTACTTTTCCCGTTTTAGAGAAGTATTAATTATCGTCTTGGTCGAGGCTTTGGAAATTATAATCGTGGTGGAATGGGACGTTTCAATGTTAATCAACGACTTAGTGGAACTCCAAGAGTATTACAACGAGTTAGTTTAGGAAGAGGACGACGTATGGGTGGCAATTTGTTTTCATCACGAGGTGGAAACCGAAGCCCACGTAGAGCTGGACTAACAATTGGTCGCGAACGAATTGGATGTAAGAAAATGGAAGGAAGATTGAAACTATACTTGAGATATGTTCATCTTAATTTATTTAGTACGCACCTTTCGTGGACGATTTAGTCGTGGATTCAATAATAATAATAATAATAATAATTCACAATCAAATCAGAACAATTCAGAACGAAATAGCTTCCAAAGTGGGCGAGGTCGTGGTGCCTCGATAAGGTATAACTTTATACATTCGAATAAACTTCAATAGATTACCTTTTGATGTCTAAATTCGAGTTTCCCAAGACTGGACCTGACCAAAATATTTTGAGATTTTCTTCACGAAGAAAGGGGTTAGAAATTTTTTAAACCTCATATTCTTGTAGAGCTCGACGAGCTCTATCGAATGATGTATCTTTTAAACAAATCGAAAAGTCACGGAAACTTTGAATTACCCGCACCTTACTTTTCTCGCTTTATTGACTTATTTTTGGTTCTGTCTCTTCTTCTATGTTAATTTTTCATTGTGTTCTCGATAATGTCTGTTTGTTCTAAATTAAATTTTGATTATTTAAATATGACTCATAATGCATCGATCTCTACTTATGTAGAAGCTATCTTCTCTTAAGCATCAGTCAGTTAATAAGTCAGTTAAGCATTTATGCTTGTTCTTTTTTTTAAAAATTTTTGTTTTATTTTACTACATCTGGTTCTAATCTTAGTTGTCCTCTTTATTTTGTTATTTCTTTTATTATTATTATTTTGGTGTTGTTTGGCTTGAGTCATTGTTACTACAGGTCGATGACCTTTGATGACTCTCACTTTTCGTGAATAAACAATCTTAGTCTAGTCTTTTTGACATCTTACATGCAGATACATGATTACGTATTATAATTAGCCAATAAGATTTTTTTCCTGTTCTGTATTATACTCACACTCTATAGTATAGTGTGTGGCTATTCTGTAGAAGTACTCCGCTGTGTATCTGTGCAGATCTCCACTTCAGAGACATAGGGCGTTTCGAATTATGTATCTACATTTGATATTTTTTGCCACAAAAACAAGAAAATTTTAAAGAAATCAAGGATGATAGGTTCACAAACAATTTCTTTCTAATTTGATCTGAAAGCGTGGCTAAATCATCGATGCTACTAATTCATAGTTCCCAGTAATTCATAGTTCATCATAATCGTTGTTATTGTTTGCTGTCCTTTTCCCCTTATATCCGCAGGTTAGAAACTTGACTGTCATTAGCTCACTTTCGCTTCAGGTCTACGTGTGTTTATAACTAAAATTCATTAAAATCCAAGTCATGTGGTTAACACGCGTAAGTTGAATATGAACTCGTTTGTCGTGGAATGTCCTCTCTGTATTTTAGCGGATGGCTCACTCGATATTATATTCTCTCAAAAGTGACTTGTTGTTTATTCAATTTGTTCAACGGCCATTGACAAATATCAGGTCAACACCAGTCGCATATTTAACAACAACAATTCCAAATCTCGGTACCGTCAAGAGATCGTGGGATAAAGGAAAGAAAAAGAAAATCGAAGAAGAAGCAATTTCTTTTTTCAAACAACAAATAAAAAATTCTAATCAACAATCACTGTCGATTGAGGATGTTTACGAACACATGGGTGAAGCATCTCCGGATGTAAGAGCATTGATTAGTGGTAATATTAAACATTTCTTAAAACGATTTCCAGATATATTCGTCGTTGGGCTTACACATTTTGCACTCAAAGGTATAATATATCAGTTTTTTCACTTTTCTTTTAGCGTTTAACGTTTTTTCTTATTCAGCTGATTGGAAATTGTTAGAAAAAGATTTGCCATCTCTTTATCCAGCTTTATAACGGAGGCATTATCCAAAGTGAAACACAAATACAAATTTTATGATGCAAATGAGCATGTTATGTTATTTAAGAACATCGGTCCGAACATCTATTTCTTGGATGCAAATCTCGTCAATTGTTACATTAGAAATGCGAAAGATTATGAGTTTTTTATTGACGAAGTGAATTCTAAACGATCGCAATTTTGTATCACTGAAACAACGATGAAGGAAGTGTCCATGTATTTTGGAGATGTACCGAAGATATTCACTATCGTTAATTCTGATATATCAATGGATAAAAAAGAACTAATGTATGAAGAGGTGTTAGAAGCCACCAGAAAAATCACATAAAAAAACTATCAGAACGATTTTAACATTCTAATCGAAGCTGGAAGGAGTTGTTTTGCTCCAGGACTGTCGCTATTCCCACCTAATTTGCCCATGTTATTGACAGCCAACATGAGATTTGTATCAAACATCATTATGCGTAATGCTGATATACTGGAAGAATGTATCAATATATGGGGCTGTGAACACCTTATACAAGTCATTGGAATTGGAGAGAAAGATGCTGTAAGTTTATTACATCAATGATGCAATCAAGAGGTGGAAACAGTGCCTATGTACAATTATGAAATGCACTGTCCGGACGACTTTTATCCGGACTTCTCATCATTTTCGTGCGGGGTCTAGTAACAGTCAAAACGCCGAACATTCGTTTTGGGCATTAGCCTAAATTGTCAGCGTACATCATCGTCTATTTTATTACTTTTTTCTATAAGATCGACATCAGCTGCTATACGTCTAAGCATCGAATTGTTTATCAACAATGTCTTCATTTGAATTATATCGTCTCGATAACAAAGAGGATGCTGTTTTCCCCTGCATATCTGATAAAATTGTATGGAAAAAGCTTTGTTTTAGATTGCGCCGTTATCAATTATTTAATAATCGTTCTGATCGTGTCAAAGTTATATTTTATCCAGAATTTTTACGTAGTACAAATCCGTTATTACCATTAGATTACGAAGAGTTTGTTTGTGGTTGTCATTTGGGAGTACTTCCATCATATTATGAACCATGGGGTTATAGCCCAGGTAGATAACAGTCATTTACACATAAAACTGACGCATATAATGTTTTTGCTTTTTTTGATCTTTTTAGCTGAATGTACAGTAATGGGTGTACCAGTTATAACAACAAATTTATCCGGTTTTGGTTGTTTCATGGAAGAACGTATTAGTGATCCTAGTTCACA